AGAACTAATACGGCAGAAATTTATATAAACAAGGATCATTTCATTCATAACGGATTCGGAGGTTTTTGTATATTATTTGAATTATTTGCGATGATGGATTTCTCGCCAATTAAATCATTAACCTTTGCATTAGTTTTTGTGTGAATAATTCATGAATTTATATATATATATATAGTCTGGTAAATTCAGTTTCGAAGTAGGGCCTCCTTAGCGTCTACGTGCTTGTAACTCTGACTTCTACAAGCGGTTACCTCACACTATTACTCTACCTCCAACTCAATCACAATCTATCAGTCTCTGCTCACTCTCTGTATACTGACTGACTCTGGGTATTTAACGGCAGCAGTCCAAGTACACACTGGTCGAGTCCACTTGTATGAAAAAGGGGAAGATCCCATAACACTTATAAGGAATGAAACTATAACACCGCAGACAAAGCTCTGTGTGAAACACTGGATGGGTGTAGTGTAGCGACTGATAAGAAGAAAACTGCACTCGTTCCACTCTCCATGTCAGGCCCAGGGATTGATTCACTGTTTCTATATCACCAAATTCCCGCTTTAATCCTGCAGACAATTGTATGACAATTCTTTCTGAAGAATTTAGAGTCTTAAACCTAACCAGTCTGTCTGCTGCTGTGGACTGCTGAGGTTGTTGTTTGTCATGCTTGACAGCACCACAGAAGCTTGCCGCTTTTGTTATAGCTGCTGCTGTTGAAGTTTTGCTGTCAGTTCTCATCCCCTTTGATTAGCGGCTCCCGTGTTGTGTTTATTTTTATTCTAGTTATACAAAGGGCACCCTCAACAACAACAAAGATCATGACAATAGTCCGAATGTAAAAAGTATAATTGACGTCTACCGGCCTGTGGTTTCGAAAGTCTTATTCATTGAAACGAGCGTTTATGCAAAGTACTATCAAGCGTTATGCATTTATTGGGGGAGACGACATTCGAACCAAGAATGCTTTAGACTGATCAGCCACGGATGACTTCACAGCAATGGCAAGTCCAATTACATTTTTTTTAAATGTACATTTCAATTAGATCTTTTTTAATACACATCGCTATCTGCTAACATTATTTTCGTATCCGAAGCATGTAGCAGTCAATGACCATGCAGCTACAAAATAGTCCTCATAAATAATTTAAATCGATACATTTGTCTTCTCAGGAAGCACATTTTTATGACGAACTCAAAAATATGAACAAACGCTAATTAAAAAGAATTATTCTAACAATATAACCAATAAAGATTAAATTCACCATAGAAAAATAAAACCGAGCTAAAATACAAATAATAAACGTAATAATGGTGAAAAAAAAATTAAACAATCTACAGAAACAATCTACACAGATAAAAATATTAGGAAACGTAACAAAAAATACATACAAGACAAAAGAAATTAAAATCATCACCTTCTAAAAAAGATCACCAACAACAACGCAAAAATATATCAATAAACCATTACTCTCTGTTAATTCCTTTGTCTACTTGAAAAAAGGATATTTAATAATATTAATTAATGAACGCATTCATAGGTCATATTACTACTATGTTATCATGTCGATTAACTTAACGCCGATAGTAATTTAATTAAATTGCATATGAACAACCAATGGAATAAAATATTCTTTCATATTAAAATATGAATGTTAATCTCTAATCTATCAAACCGATTCTAAACTGAAACTTTATACATGAAAAGCAAACAGCATGGCACTGATAAACAAATTTAGGAAAAAGTATACGAAATATATTTTATGAAAAAGTCACATAAAGAAAATTGGCACAAATAACTGGCACATTAGAACTGAAGTCGCGGTATTTTAAAAACAATTAAATAATTACATACACTATTTACATTCGGAATATTGTTTTCCTCCTTGTTGTTTTTATTACAACAAATCGCCGTGCCGTCATGTCTGGTGTATATTGATCCACGTAGCATATTTAAAGTTCGGAATTGAACCCTTTATTTAATCTATCGGGTTGACTGTTCCTGTTAAAATGTCAATGTATAGAGATATATCGTCTAGAGCTTTATACCACTCGCGCTGGTCCCACTGAGTCTAACTGTCAACCCCAGGGATTGAAGTCACAATTACTACTTCAGCAAATTCACGAACCCACGCTTTAATCCACTAGGCTATTGTTATGTAGAGAATTCAGAATCACAGTAGAGAATACAGATTCTTAGATCAAATATCGTCAGGTGTATATCGGTCCGGATAACCGACAAGGAATTAAGTCTATTTCTATATTTCTGAGATGAGGTATTATGTACATTATTTACATTATTCGGATTATTGTCCTCATCTTTGTTGCCATATTTATTACAACGTTTCGGCCCTTCAGAATCTTTCTATATTTCTGAGATGAGGTATTATGTACAGTATTTACATTATTCGGACTATTGTCCTCATCTTTGTCGCCATATTTATTACAACGTTTCGGACCTTCAGAATCTTTCTATATTTCTGAGATGAGGTATTATGTACAATATTACCATTATTCGGACTATTGTCCTCATCTTTGTTGCCACATTTATTACAATGTTTCGGCCTTTCAGTATCTGTCTATATTTCTGAAATGAGCTATTATGTACATTATTTACATTATTCGGACTATTGTCCTCATTTTTGCTGCCATATTTATTACAACGTTTCCTCCTTTCAGTATCTGCCTATATTTCTGAGATGAGGTATTATGTACATTATTTACATTATTCGGACTATTGTTCTCATCTTTGTCGCCATATTTATCACAATGTTTCGGCTATTGTACGCGCCGGCCTTCTTCAGGTGGATAAAGGCATTCGATAGGTCCATTGACAGTACCAAAAGAGGTGTGAGTTCAATGCCTAGTTAAGACGGTGGAGAATTTGGAGAGGTGAATTACAGGAGATAAATGATAACTGACATCCATTAAACATGGCAGGTGTATCTAGAACAGTCTACCCCTGCGAGCGAAATAAAGGGTTCAGTTCGACATTCCAATCACCTGAAGAAAACGAGCGTTCAACGGCCGAAAAGTTGTGATAAATATGGCAACATAGATGAGGATGATAATCCTAATAATGTAAATAGGAAATTAAGTTTTGAACTGAAACATTTATTTAATCATCCAATGGGGAAGTATTGTCGTTTCACTGTTTATCTAATTCTTATCCAAAGGAAAGTAAGAAGCTTGGAGATGTGTGAAAAAAGTAACCATTAAAATAGAACTTACGCTTACACATTTCAACAGTAAAATTTTGAGACCTAACTGTCAATCTAGTACTGCGCTTAAATTCATGAAGTCGAGGTACAAAAGAGAACAATTACTAAAAAAGTATTTATCGAAAAGTCACAGGAAAGCTACGTTACGTAGGTGGGAAAGGAAGTGAAGCTGAGATGCCAGGACTGATGACATTCCAGATTTTTCATTGGATTCTGTCTAGAATCTTTAGAAACCTAGAAGAAACATCAAACCAGATTTGGTAACAATATTCAATACACGGACGAATAACAGACGTGTTTCTTCAAACGCCATGTAGACTACACTGCGTGCCAAATTATTATCGAGATAACTTTTTTCTAATATTTCAAAAACCATCCAATTAATTCACACAAAATGTTCACACAATATTGGCAACACTTACCTGCGCAATCACTGACATTTTCGTACTGATCTGCGCAATGTAAACAAACTGGTGATATATTTGTTATCAGCACGGTGATTTGAGCGTGATTGCGCAGATCAATGTTGTCAACATTGTGTGAAAATTTTGTGTGAATAGATTGGACGGTTTTTGAAATATTAGAAAAAGTTATCTCGATAATAATTTGGCACGCAGTGTATATGCGCTTATTTGTATGCGTTGTTACATGATATCTTTGTGTTTTATACACTATTTAGATTATTCGGACTATTGACCGCCTCTTTGTTGCCATATTTCCTCAAGGACACATGGCACAATGGATGAAGGCGTTAGTTAAATCCAGTGACAGGATCGAAAGAGGTCCGAGTTCAATTCCTGGTTAACGTGGTGGAGAAATTTGAGAGGGGAATTAACAGGAGATAAATGATAACTGACATCCATAAGATATGTCATGTGGAAATAGAGCAATCTACCCCAGTGAGCAAAGTAAAGTGTTCAGTTCGACATTCCAACCACCTGAAGAAGACCGGAGCGTACAAGGGCCGAAACGTTGTGATAAATATGGTAACAAAGATTAGGACAATAGTCCGAATAATGTAAATAGGGAATTTAATTGTTACGAATTGAACCATTTATTTAATGAAGCAATGGGAAACTGTTGTCGTTTCACTGTTTATCTAATTCTTAACTCAGGTACTGTTCAGTTATTATCAACCCTATTTCTACTGTCTCCAAATATATGCTCGGCTTAGGGATTAAATTAAAATGACTAGGATTAAACAAGGGAATGCAAATATAATAATGTTTTAATTAAGAATGTCGGTTTGATTCAATTTTTTTTTTTCCTTTGTCCTCAGACATTTCCTTATCGTTCATATTTTGCTTCCATGTTATTTCAGTGTTAGGAAATTGTCTCTCATTCCCGGCCGTATAGAATGACATACCAATCCAGCATTCTTTTCTTTCTTTGAAACCTAATATTGTTATGTCAAAATATCTTGTTTAGTTTCAGGATGATCTCAATTGCTATAGCATTTTTCTGCTATTACTCTACACAGAAAGTTGAATTTCTGTGTAAGCGTATTTCCAATTCGATACACACACCTAAGGCTGTCTCACTTTTTGAAGACAAAGCATTCTCATTTCTTACAGTTAATGATTAGTCTTTTCATCGCGCTTTCATTTTTCTCGTCTAATACATATATATATATATATATATATATATATATATATATATATATATATATATATATATTTTCCTATTATGTCGATCTGGCAACGCATTTCTTCACTTCTGATTTCCCTGAAGACTTATAGAATAGATGACCGAATAATCATCATGGACAGTTCTTGTATTTCTCTAGAATGCCAAAAAATAGTTCCAACATTCCAATTCAGACACAGACAGGGCGACAAACTTACAAATACGATTATTGGCGGATGTCTGAGACAGAGAAATAAAGTTATAGATTATTCGCTTTTAAATGTCTAAGATATATGTCATCTCCAGTAGGTTTCATGATGCTTCAGGCCGATAAATATGGTTATTGATGACCGCAGAAAAGTAAAGCTAAATGTAGGTCGACAATCATGAGTTCACAATGTCAATGGTCGGGCTTTCGGACATTGTATTCTGGTAAACCAAAAGCAGTCGAGGCAAACATCCACAACGCGGACGGTTTTATCGATCTAGGAGAACATAATGTCCGAGAAGAAAGCTAAAATCTGCTAATAAATGTTGACTAAGCCACGGATGAAATCTCATCTATTAAAACCCACTAAATCAGGAAGCAGAGCTGAAGATGAATGTCAATCATTTCGTTTCTTAGACACATGCATATATATATATATATATATATATATATATATATATATATATATAAAAATACGTAAAAATACTTATATATTATTCAATATATATATATATATAATATATATATATATATATATATATATATATATATATATCATTGAATAATATATAAGTATTGTGGTTAATTATTTTATACTGATCCTTTTGAGTTGTTTAATCAATTAATTGATGTTGAGAAGAAATTCAACAAGGAAGGCTTCGTAGGTTTTTCTTTTTACCCAAGTACTTTCGACCGTTTATAAGATCATCGTCAGAAGTACATTACAAAGGCTGCTTGCCACGAAATTCGGATTAGTTTGTATCGTAAAAAAAAAATTCTCGCCAGGGTCATTGTAGATTATTCTTTATATTTTATTAAAAAACAGTAAATAGGCATATATATATATATATATATACATACATACACACACATAGATAGATAGATAGATAGATAGATAGATAGATAGATAGATAGATAGATAGATAGATGTGTGTACACTTGTGTGCGTGTGTAACTGTGTATGTGCTTCTCTGTGCCGTATGTTGCAAAGCATTTGCTCTTTCGACATATGCAATTTCCTTAATCAGAATATGATAGGTTTGCGTTACGGGGCCTATACGACGAGAACCTGTAGACTTCTTTTCCAGAATTAATGCAATATAATGTTGCCATGATGTCTAGTCAGTTAAACCACACCACGATAACAGAGAGACATTCAATGTTCTTTGATTTCTGCAAGGAATAGATGATCTGAACATCACGCCAATAATAAAAAAAATAAAACAAAACATATATCAGCATATATGAAACACATGTAAATTATATACACATGTTCGTGTACGCGTATGTGCGTGAGTGGGTGCGCGTGTGCATTTATAAAAGAACCAAAGCGATGCTAAAATTCCTCAAATACTCAAATATCAGATAGTGATACGAACGATGACTGAATCTACTACAAATTTTGACGTAAAAAATAGCCCGTTGAATTTCATAGGACGAGTAAATTAAACCAAGAAACAAAAAAAAAGTTAATGCACATGTACGAGATGACATTTAGATGGCCTCAAGTTTCTGAAAGACATCCGGAAGGACATGAAATTATGACAGAAATCAAAGAAATAATAATAATAATAATAATAATAATAATAATAATAATAATAATAATAAATTGCACAAATTGAATACATCCTAATTCTCTGGGATTACACCATCTTTACAGAGAGGAAGATTGAAGCAAATAGGCCGGACATAATTGACAAAAACCGAAAAGAAAAAATTTGACTACTAATTGATATGGCTTCTCAGCATATTGTATCATAGCAACAAAGGAATTTGAAAAATATCGCAGTATAAGACCTGGAAATGTAAATAGAAAAAAATGTGTACATGGAAAACAAGAATAGTACCAGTCATAGTAGGTGTGCTTGGAATGATAAAAAAGGAACACAACAATACATTCAAAAAATCCCTGGAAATCCCAGCTTAAGAGAAATACAAAAATATGTTTTTATAAGTACACTCTATTACGAATATAACTTTGCTCTAGTAACGCTAGTGATTGTGTGGGAGTTAGAAAAGCAAGGCTTGAAATGTAACGTACCACTACCTGATGCAGGTCTTACCGCAGATTTGGTAGGTAGTGCGACGATATCAGAAATCGAAATATAATAATAATAATTATAATAATAATAATAATAATAATAATAATAATAATAATAATAATATTAATAATAATAATATAGGACCTGTTACAATTCTAAGGGACTACACAATACACACTGACAGAACAATCAAAGCAAACCGGCCAGATATTGTTATTAAAGACCAAAAACAAAAACGGTGCCTCCTTTTTAATATTGCAGTCCCTGCTGACTGCAATGTATCTTTGAAGATATTCAAAAAAGCTGTCAACATAAAAGGACCTTGAAATAGAAATCTCAAAAATGTGGCATATGGGAAAATCAACAATCCCTGTTGTAGTTGGAGCCCTAGGACTGGTTGGAAAAGATTACAGTAGACTAATTGAAGGGATACCTGGAAGTCCATGCCTCAAGGAGATACAAAAAAAATTTCTGACAAGTACAGCCCACACTTTACGAAGGGCTTTATGTATGTAATTTTTTTTTTTTTTTTTTTGTCAGTGGAAAGTGTCATGCTGCCATTTCTAACCTTAGGTCCATAGGCGGGACCCGGAAAGAAATGTGTAAACGCCAGAAATCAAAGAAAATAATAATAATAATAATAATAATAAGGAAAAGGCAACAAAAATAAAAGTAGTAAATACAGGGTGCTACAGAAATAGTTCCCATATAATAGACATCTACGTAACGTTTTACCATTATGTGTGAGATATGCCTGGGAGATATATGTGGAATGTCTTTCCTATGCATCCTGCATATAAATCAACCATTGTAAGGAAGGTACAAAGCAAAAACGCCGAAAAATATGCAAAACAAAAAAATTAATGCGTTTATGATAACGCTTTCATCTACAGGAAAAAAAAGTGCCAAGAATAAAACAAAACTTCCATTAAAAAAAAATTAAAACATGAATTTGGGGAGAAAACTCAAGTGGATGAGAAAAATGAGATGACAAGGGAAGACTATTCGAAGAAATTTGGCAATAAACCTAAAATTGGGAATGAAATTAAAAAAAATAAGAAACAACTTAAATAAAAAACAGGAATGGATATTGAAAATTGGGGAATTACACCGAAATACCCCAGTCTGTATGCTCCCTATTCATTTATCTATCCAGCTAGCTTCCTAATGCATGTGATGAAACATGACTGACCAATGACAATGAAACAACTCAAAACTAAATATACCATAATTTCTTCTTTTTCTCGATATCCCATTCTCTGGTCAAGCTTTAATAAAAATGAAACATGTTAGATTGATAAGCGATTCCTCTTTGTTCTTCATCTATCTATCTAGCTAGAGATCTATCTATGAATTATGAATGAATAAAAATCATGATAGGAATATTAGCTTTTGCAAGTAGACGTTGGTTATTTATTGCAATTTGTGAAATATAGTGATTATATCGTGGCTGAATAATGTTCAGCACCAGTCTAGTCTTTCGAGTTTCATAAATACTGAAGAAAATATTCCAGAGATAGGGAATTAATATCACATTGACAGAAAGTATAGAATTTTCAGACAAATATTATTCGATGACACAAAATACTCAACAGCACCCAGTGCAAGAAACGACTCAATAACTTAGAAGCTGTTATTATACAAAAATAAGCAGCCCTATTTTGAAATAAAATTGCATATACGACAGGTCACGGTATCTTGAAATGCATGATATAATTAATGTGTGCATGCATTATATTAATATTAAAATAAAAATAAAATAAAATAAAATAGAATAAATTTTGTGTGAACTTGATTGCAATAGCCGTTAAATATGACATCACTATAGACCATATCAAACGCCCAGCTTTATTTTAATCGATATCACTCTATGCAAGACAGTAATGTCACTATGATACAAGGGGTTACTTGATGTGGAACAATTATAAGCAAAAGCATTACTAAGGAACGAGAATAAAAAGGATAATCAAGAGGACAGTAGATAGCTATTGGCATTGCATTTACATTTTTGAATATTAAAGTTGGATTTTAAAAGAAACCGCTAGCATAGAACTGCCATCTAGCCAGCTCAATTGCATTACGAAAGAAGACCAGCTCAACTGCATTACGAAAGAAGACCAGCTCAATTGCATTACGAAAGAAGACCAGCTCAACTGCATTACGAAAGAAGACCAGCTCAACTGCATTACCAAAACATACTAGAATGTAGACAAAGTAATTTTAACTACCATACAGGCACCGGATTGCTTCTTGATAATGACTGCTATTGTCGAAAGTACTAGAACAAAAATAACAACATTTTGAACTTCGGCTAGTTTATCCACAACTTCAGACACAATGCTCTATACTTTATTCGGAATTGAAATAATATAAACAAAAATTAAATAAACAGGCTATGAAACGTGTTCGAAAAATAATTCCTGTCTAAAAATTCCTTAGTTATACATACACGTGTGTGTGTGTGTGTGTTTAGGCAGCATATTTTCATTCAAAAAGGTATGGTTAAATAATTTAGACATACTATCTATGTTTGTTTATTTTTGTTTTCATCCTTTCGTACCGATTTCTTGGTAGCCGGAGAAAACTGATGACGAAAAATACCAACATTTTCTTTCAAATAATTTTTTTCTTTTCCCAAGTACATTCAGTCTCATCTGGCACCATCTTTAAGGGGATTAAATTTTATGTGTACACGTATTTTTGTAACTTCAAAACATTTTTTACTGTTCGTTTTATTGCGTTTTTTTTTAAATCCTTTTATATTAATTTCAAATTCACGATTTGTTTTCCATGCAAGTACTTTGGAAAGTAAAAATAATAAGAAAGAAAATTCTGATATTTTTAAATCAATTTTCAAAGCATTGAAATAAAAAAAAAAAAAAACATAGCATGTCTAAATTACTTAACCAAACCTGTTTGAATATATCTATCTATCTATCTATATATATATATATATATATATATATATATATATATATATATATATATATATATATATATATGTGTGTGTGTGTGTGTGTGTGTGTGTGTGTGTGTGTGACATATACACACACACACACACACATATATATATATATATATATATATATATATATATATATATCATAAAACTCAATTTCATATATGATCGAAAAGGTTTAGATTGATCATGACATCAATCAGAATGGCTGACTGTTAAGCTACAGGAGTCCAAATTATTGCGCCTTCTCGGTGTCACGTTTTGTACAGACTTCAAGTGGAATCATTACATTAAAATAACTTCGAGGAATGTTAGTTCATTACGTCGTGCTAGACATTTTTCCTGGCCAGAATCTATCTTGCACAATTATTAGTAACCCATTTGTCAATGTATCGAATATTGATGCCGAATCTGGTCTGATCCTTCCGCTATATTTTAACGGCTTCTTGACAAAGAAAAAAAAATCGGCAAAGTTATTTGTCCTAAATTTGCATTTCGGTTTAAGTAATTTTTCCACCACCATAAAGGATATTCACTGTGCCTTTTACTTAAATATTTTCATGGTAATTCTTCTGATGAGATTTCTCTTCACGAATTTAATTGCTGAAATTAGTAGTTGTAACAGCATTTCCTTCGCAAAAAGTTCCGTTTGCTGTAGTTCGCTTGTGGAACTCTTTGCCAGATTCTTACTTTTCTGACCAGAGATAGATATGCACAATATTGTTTATATAGATAGATAGATAGATAGATAGATAGATAGATAGATAGATAGATAGATAGATAGTATGAACAGTCAGAGAAACATATGGACAAAGTAGGTAGATCGATAGATATCATTAAGCTATCATAGCTATAACTAATGTGGAATAGATAGATAGATAGATAGATAGATAGATAGATAGATAGATAGTATAAACAGTCAGATAAATATATGAATAATGTAAACAGATAGATATATAGATATGATACATATGAACAATGCGGAATAGATAATAAGTATAAAATTTCAGGTATAGATATGAACAATATGGAATAGATACATAGATAGTATAGACTGACATAGATATAGATAATGTAGAATGAATGTATATATATATATATATATATAGAGAGAGAGAGATAGATAGATAGATAGATAGATAGATAGATAGATAGATACTTCTTGCAATCGAATGAAATCCGACCTTAAGAAATCCAATATCTACCTAGCTTTTCTCCCACCTTCAAATATTTATTCTAGGCCCAGTTCCGTTGATGATTTTTTTTCCATGTGGGAACATCTCGAACAGTCATGAATTTCATTGTGCAAACGTTTCAGATTTACGCAGATATGAATCATCTTTAAAGCTGGGGACCTAAGTGTGATGACCTAAGTATGATGACCCGATCGACGCAGTTTTGGTTCTTTTTATCTCTTTAATTCAGGAGTTTTCGTATTTAATACATTCGGTCCTTCGAATTCATTGTTTACCTCCATAGCCTTGGTTTTCAACCAGTCTAGTAGAAGGAAAGCTGAAATCAAGCCAGAGTGTTGAGCTCCATCAGGTCGTCTTCTCGATGAAATACCATTGCTACTATGGCTGCACTAGACAGGGTACACCTACGTCTCTAAGATGTTATGTGATTCGTAATCCTGAAAATATTCTGTATATTTTATATAACAGGCTTTTTAATAATCAGATTTCTTAATAGCTTAACATTTTCTTCGAAGTGACAGCATTTTAGCATCTTCTTATCACAATGGTTTTAATATTTGAAACCTACAATTAATTATTTGTCTCATCTTCTTTAAATATTTGTTCGCTTATTTGTATATTAAATTTAAATTTATTTTCATACAAAAAGTTATTCTTTGTCATTTTTCTCCGCTTTTTCCTTCCTTTTCTTGTTATTTATCTTTGTCGTCTGCCTTTTCCATTTTCTGTTTGAAGAACTGCTACTCAATTATTTTCTTTCAACCATTAAATTGTTCGCACTCATTCTTCAGCATATATTTCTCTAATGATTCCCTTCGAATACTTCCGGGTTGCTTTACATTATAATCGCCATTTCCCTTCCTATCAATTGTTTTCTTCTTTTTTTTTTTTTTGCAGCCGCCATGTTTCTTCTTATGTATTCACTTCTATCCCTTTCTTTCTTATTTGTTTTCTCTCCTTCTTTTTAACGTCTTTCTGATAGGACCAGAATACACCTCATCGCTTCAACAACGTCAGCGTGATGGATATTTTCCAATCGGCTTTTTAAAGCCAAATGTTATCCGTCCGACAGGAAAATCTCCATTTCCCGCTTGCGAATCCTTGCCAAATACTAACAGCAACTATCAGTTCCCAAATAACATCGGCCTTTGCATTTAGCTCACCTCTGGAGACCACAATTTTGACACCAGCTCATCAACATCCCTCAAGCTGCGAACGATGGTAGTGTTGTCGATTGATCATACTTCCCGTCGTTACTGTAGAAGACAACGCATGCAATGATCGACAGTAAATTATCCGTTCTTGTTCATTCTTAGTCAAGAATGACACAGGTTAACTCTGAAAATGTATGAACATTATAACTACAACAAACACATATATAATTCAATCGCAGCAAGATATTAATATCTTTTACACGGTTTGCTAAAAATCATTTACCATTGCTACGCGTCTGTTTATCTGTTAATTCAACATTCCTAAACTCAGTTTGAACATTTTTAGACACTGATTAATTCCTTAAAATGCATTTGGATTGCCTTAAAATTAAATTCTATATTTATTTGAATAAACACACAAATTGGCACATATAAAATTGCGTTTTTATTATTAATATTATCGTATCAATTTTGAAATGATTAAGTGAAAATATAATAAAAGCTGATATATATATATATATATATATATATATATATATATATATATATATATATATACATATACACACACACATATATATATATATATATATATATATATATATATATAATATATAAATTGGAATAATTTTCTCAATATTTTTAATATTTTTCAAATTTTCAATAACGTTTCTTTATATATTAAATTAACTTAATATTTTTATGTCATATCATTTTGTCAGAATAAAAACACCATATATTAAATTCATATATATATATATATATATATATATATATATATATATATATATAATAATACATATATATATATATATATATATATATATATATATATATATATATATATATATATATATATATATGAATACTTTAACTACATATTTTCAATTGGATCCTTTCATATTCATGGGTAATCTTTTTGACTCATTAATAAAAGTTGAGAGAAAATCGCCCTGTTGATACATGTTATTTTATTCCAAGTGCTCTCGACAAATCACAATGATATCATCAGAGTGTGTTCATTTCAACGCAAATATCATACTGGTCTTCATTTTCAAAAACAAAATTGCTGTGTTCATTTGAAAGTTATTTTGTTTTACTTATGACATGAAGAACGCTGAGTGAATCCGTGATAGCTTGACACCCTACAGAAGCATGGTGAGTCGAGAATTTTTAAGAAATATGTATTAAAACTATTGGTGCAAACATTGATAATTTAGACTATCTATTGCACACATATATAAACATTTGTGCAGTATTCATAATTATTTTTATTCAGGGTCAGTTTCATTTGTTTAATATAGATAGATTTGAGAAGTTTTAGTTTATGTTGATTATTTTCATGAAAAACTAAATATGTATTTTAAATAAGATTTTTTCTGAATTGCGAGTTTGGACCGGTATGCTGTTGAAAATGTTTAGAAATGTTGGACATTTTATTCTTATAAAAAATCAGCGGCTGCGACAGCGTTGTCGTAGTGTGTCCAACATAAATATGACGATTTGCGTTGGAGATACAATCTCTCAGAGGACATTTAAATTCATAAACAATGTTGGTTTTCTCCAACACGTTAGTAGGCGCGGAAGAGTCGTTACGAATGATTGAATTATATATGCTAGATGCAGTGTTTTATTTTTTTGCTAAGATCTCCGGGGCATACATTAGGATTTATTAATTTATTATGATATGTTCGTCTTGTTTATAATGAGTATATATGTGGTTGTGATATAAATGATTAATATGTTAGGGGTTAGTTGAAGAAGTATTATATTCTATTTGCTTACCATTAAAACTTCTTATAGAAAATCTTATTTGTTCATCAACACTATAATAAGGGACGTCATTATTTTACAAAATTGATAGAGAAAACTTCTCCTTTTAAAAAAAAATATTATGATCCTCTCCAATTCTCTATACGACTTCTTGATATTGATATTAAAATCATTAAGAAGCAGTAGTGCTTTTTCTTTTCCTTTATTTTCCCTTCTTATTTTCATTTTTATTTTCCGACGTACTTTCAGCCTCATTCGATTTTTGTAAACATGCATGAACACGATCTGTTATAATTACTTTAAAAATTAACTTTTGAAGGTATATCGTTTTTATATGTTTTTGATCTAAGGAAGGTGACTTTAATTTTTATGATTGCAATCTATTTGATTTTTTTCAAAAACTATTTTAAATAATTTTTTTTATAGAATTTTTAAAAAACTCCTATTATAAATATGCTCATTAGCAACCTTATTTAGTTTTAGTTGTGTGTTCCTTATATAAAAAATCCTCGAGAATTTGAAGTGTTGTTTTTTTTTTTTTTTCATGATGTAGTATACTTGTACTATCAACAAGCATATTTCTGTATTTTGAAGGTAGACCGGAATGTGACTCAAAATGTTGAGCGATGGAAGTTGTATCCGACATATGGAGTGTACGCTCTCATGATGTTGTTGTCGCAAAACCAATTTATGTATGGAAACTTCTAGGTGTTTTGGAGTCTTCTAGAACTTTCTGGATATTTATGACGTGCATATTGTGGGAATATGTACGCATGATGGCTGGTTATATAAGTCGGATGGGAAAATCGTCTTATTTTTATTTTTTGCTTCAGGGTATAAAAACTTCCTTTTTGATCAACGCTGATTGAATTGCTGAATTATCTCCAAGAATTAATTTTAAACCATAATTTCTCAGAAAAAGTGCTTCTCCCACTGAAAGTAACAAGAATATCTACACGAAGAATCTCATAAGATTTAAGGGATCACTTTAGAAAAGAAGAACTGCTCCACTAGAAGAAAATCGTTAAAAATACAAAATCAGGATACCACTCAAAATTCAAATTTTTGGTCGCTGTCTCTTCCTTGGAGTATTCATTACAGGAAGGAGGGAACGTAGAAAGGAAATCGGTAAAAAGTACCAAGTTTATGGAAAAATATATAAAATTTCCCAAATTTATCTACTCCAACTATAAAAACAAAACTGAATCAAGTGCTGAAATCCTAAGATGAATGTGTGACACAAAGAAAATATGATACATTCAATGAAATTTTTGACATCGCAAAAGAAAATGTTGAATGGATCTGTAGTGAGAACAAATACTTATCATCGTCAGATCGAAATCAAAGTACATATTGGATATACAACTGGACAGACTGCAAGTTGCAAACCTATTCATCTATCTAAAAGAAGAAAACTGACCTTAGAGCAAACTTCAGCAAGGGTTATAACAACAAGCGCGAATCAAAGATTGAATCTGAAACCCAATCAGAAAATGAATATGAACGAAACTTCAAACAAAACAGCAACATCTTCAAACGTTTCAATCAGCAAAGAAGCACACGTTTGTCAGCAGTTGTCTCAAGAAGAGACTGACTTTGAGACATTTACACTATCCGGTATTCACAGATCTAATATTAAAGAAGCTGTTATACTTAAAGAAGAAATGAAGTAGACATACTTATAAAATTAGTCATTGCATTTTTTTTGGTAAACGAATTGATAGCCAAAAGTGTCAAGTGCTTGTTTTGAAGAAAGAAAAATAGAAATTAAGCTATATATATTTCATTTAACAAATAGAATGGTGGATATTTTTGCCAAAGGAACAGCGAATGTTCTGGGTGAATACAATTTTGGTAGAGCATAAAGATAATTATTGAGACTCTACGAATGTAGGCACTGGAAGTAGGAATGGAATTGTCATTCAGTAACAAAGACTGTTTACCTAAAAGAAACTTGAAGAAATACAATTTCATTGGCTGTACACATCATGTTCTTGACCGATTGCTTTGCATTGTAGTGCATGACGAACTTGGTGGAAAAACAGATCGCCCAATACCGAATATCCGTTTATCCGTGTATAAATAATGAAGAAGTTCAAGAATAGTAAAAAAAAAAAGAGATTACTGAAACACCATGGTAACGTTATGGTATTTCATTTAACACGGGTTTTTTCTGATTTTTCGGAGAGTCTAGAAGATTTCTTAAACAGTTAACATAAGTTGCGCAAGATGGAAGTCTAGAGGAATACCATCTCTTTTAGCATTTATTATTCTACCGGGGGAATAGAGACTCGGCACTCGAAATTTGTAGACTCATCTCTTACGGATGGGTGGACCAGTGGTTGACTGATCGAATCTACAATGTAGATGAATATCAGAAGTTATGTAGCACCTTGCAGGATCAGAGAAAACCATTAAACTCCGCGACAAAAAAAAAAAAAATGGAATCTAGAACCATCAAGACTTGAAATTTCCAGAACAATTCAGTGTGTCGAAAGGGCAATCGAGTGCATTCAATCTCATTATGACCTCTGTAAAACGGAGAACGTTCAGCTTACATTCATTTTGTCTAACACATTAATTGCATATTATGCTATAATTATATTATTTTTGTGTATATATCTATTCTTTATTGTGGCTGTAAGCTTCTAATTGTATATCCTAATTGGCAGTTTCCTTTATTTGAAGGTTGATATGTTTTGCTACAACGGTAAACGTTTAAATGACTTGAAAATACATGAGTACTATCCAATTATATGAGTAACAAATTGAAAAAGAAAGGGTCTGAAATATTTAGATTTTTTCGCCTTTATTGCGTATATAGTAAAACTGAATGTTCGGTTTGGGTGGAACCTGTTTAAAAACTAAAAAAATTAACGACTTTTGTCATTAATTTTGACCAAAAGTTCATCTATTTATGACACAGGAACACACAGTTACCAAAAAATTATAACCCAAAAATCTATCTATCTGTATATATATATATATATATATATACACGAATACGGTTAGATCATTGCTGAACATAGCCCCATTAGAACCCATTTAAACACACACACAAACTTATCAGACTCCATTAGAAACATAGTAGTAGAAAAAACAAAAATATTAAATTCATCCACTTGTAAAAAAGATTAAAAATAATAGAAGGTTTAATAATAATAAAAAAAAGCTTAACAATATTAACTACGAAGAAGGCCACAATATGCTAACCGTATTCGGAAATTAAAAACATCTCTGCAACACACTAAAACATACACATAATGCACACACTCAATTAAGCTGAAAAATTGTATCATCTTTGATAATGGCTAAAGGTATAGACGAAAGTATTTTTTGAATATTTTTGTTGTTGTAGGAGTTTATCTGTGAATGTGGCATGAACTAGATAGTTCAATAAATAGAGTAATGTCTCGGTTATTATCCCGAAAATTTACACGTCGGATCAGTTCTTCTGAATCAAATATGTGGTACAGTTTAATTTAAAATCATTTAAAAAAAAACAACAGATCCGACGTGCAAATTTTCGGGATAACAGCTGAGACATTATTCTATTTATTGAACAATTTAGCTCATGCCACATTCACAGATAAACTCCTACAGCAAAAAAATTCTTAAATTGCCACACACACGCACGCACACACACACATATATATGTGTGTGTTTGTTAGTGTGTGAGTGTGGTGATTTTTCTATGTAAGAATACAACAAACAAACATGGATTTGTGTACAAAAGGCTGTACTAATATAACATCTATCATCTGAAATAACAAATTTTACATTGTTAATAATCTCATATATATATGACCAGATGATCTCACCGGGTCAGCAACTCAGAGTTCATTAAAGTAACGCTAAAAAGGATTATCGCCGTTACACATTTGAACTACTTTATCTACAACACTTGTATATCGTTATAATGGGGCCTCACATCAGTGAGGGGGGGCCGGTGTGCAACTGAAACCGTTGAGAGGAAGGCCCCGAAACGGTGCACATTCTCTCCTGATGACCCCAGTTTAAAATTCGAGAGGAACACATCAAAATTCAGTGAAATCATATGCCGTAGAGAAGCTTGGTGGAAGTGTCATTGGCATGAGGAGCATTATAGATTCAGCTCGCTTCAGGTGAGTTTCAATTACTTTCCAGTAATTTCCTTCTATATATATATATATATATATATATATATATATATAGTTTATGCAAAACTAGGTAATCCGTATGGATAGACCCAAGGAGGATGATATCCAGAGAGTTCAATGTAAATTCAGAGCAAATAAATTTGAATAAAAACAGACCACTTTAAGGTTCCATCTAATAAATTATTTCACCACATCCCTTTTAAAGGGCTCTGGATCATTTAAAAGGGCTGTGGTGAAATAATTTATTACATTGAACTTTAAAGAGGTCTGTTTTATTCATATATATATATATATATATATATATATAAGTCGAAAAAAAGTTGAACACTAAGCATGGACAGTCTGTTTCATGATTCACTCCAGTGTTCTGGCCGAGTTGCAGCTCAACTATTTATATATGCTGTTCAAGGATTCGGTGCTGACGTAGTGAAGGCCAGAGAGCACAGAGGTCGAAACCTTGTGATAACAACAACGACGAGGACAATAGTTGGCATGGAAAAATAGTGTGACTTCTTATAACTCCTTATCCCGAAAATTCTGAAATAAAAAAACATTTAGCCAATATTAACTCGCAGATTATTATTTCCGTTTCAATATGCCGCCAAGCAAGTGAACTGGAAAAACGAGAACTCCTAACACAACGTTGCACTTCCAATCTTTTAGTCTTTTAATTAATCACTTAATCCAACTCTTAGCCGTGATTGTTTTACGTGTAAAAGTTTAATTAGACAGCGAATAATTATCTTGTTAGATTTTTTCTGAAATACGCCAGTTACTGCAAGAGTAGCCAAGAATTGCCAGCCTCGTAGTGCTAACCAAATCATACAATCGACAGGCCAATATTTAAAATTGAAAACTCAAATATTTGCGCATTTATAAGCCAACATAATGTAAAAAAAAAAGCAGAGACGATTTGGTTTTTAACATTCTTCTTTATGTTCCGTTTGCCTTCCTGACCTAGGCGAGTATGGCTCTCCACAACTGCTATTCCCTTGTAGCTCTTAATAAAGTGTGTCTTTCTGTTAATTCCTGATCCGCCTTGTTCTGGGTAGGACAATAAACTACATCCGGCATCATGGTTTCTGATCGTGAGATTTGAGGTTTTGAGGTACATGGAAACACCTGACGTCTGTTGTTCCCATGTTTACCCTGACCTGGGATTGTATTACATCTTAGGGTCTAAGCAGGTCTGCAAATAATGAACACCCAAATTTAAAATTAACAGTACATTTTTTATAATAAAATGAGCAACAATATTTTTTTATAGCAATAATAACAGTCAATCCAACACTAAAATAATCTAAAGATATATTTTTATCGTAAAATTACCAATATATTCTATAATATACAAATTATATATCTAAAAAATAAACCTTTAGTGTGAAAGTGTAAACCTATGCAAAAAATATGTGTAGCTCAAAGTATAAAATTACGTACAAAATATTAAGTGAAAATGGCGCACTTTATGAGTAAAACACTTCTGAAATGTTACATAACTAATTTATTAAGTTGAAATAGGCTCCATGTAGCTGAATGTCTGTTCCCGAAAATATATTTTAATGTCCAGCTTTAAAAAATTCTCATCCTTTGATTTGATAAATTGTTCAAATGCTTTGATTACCTCTTGGAATGTTTTAGTGTCTGTGAAATGCTTAAATCAGTAGGAAAGGTATCGGGGGAATATGGAGTCAAAATTTCAGAATTTACGCTATGCACCTTTTAGACAGTTGATTGAGAAGAAGTCGTACGTTCTTGTGTGCAGCAGAATTGGGCCATTCCACAAGCCCAGGGTATCTCATTTTCAATTATTCGGGAATACACTCAATTTCTCCACAATAAGAGGCTACTATATGTGTTCTCCTTGAGGCAAGAACGAGTAATGAATACTCTTTTTTGAAAGATCATAGAGTAACCATTGCTATTTTAGGGCGCACTGGAGTTTTTAGATATTGTTTTACTGATTGACCTTCATCTAACCACTGGCCTTCTCTCTTTAATGTTGTTAAAGAGTATACATTTCTATGTAATGATTTGATGGAAAATTATCTGGAGTGAAAAAGACCCAGGAATAAGTCAATATATATATATATATATATATATATATATATATATATATATATATATATATACTGAGGAGGTTACTTCATTAGACAAGCGGATCAGCAGCCAACCAAAATATACTTCATTTCATCTGTGACAACGTTTTCCGGCATTAAATAACCCGTAGACGTTGATATGTCGCTAAACCAAATCAACCAATGAAACAGCCCGATCCGCCATCCATTTACTCAAGGCCATTAAAATATTTTAAGCCTTGTTTTCCTCTGTTCCTCTTGCTATCTATCTGTCCACTGAGTATCATGTTTTCTAAGCCCTCTTTCCTCATTATATGCCCCATAAAGCTCAACTGTCTCTTCCTGGTGTAAAGTAATAGTTTCCTTTTTGTTTCCATTTTTCTTCCAAACTTCATCGTTAACCCCGTCCATGGTATAGATCTATAGAACGGCATTTCTTTTGCTTCAAATCTTCTCTTCATCTTTGAGGACATCGCCCAGGCCTGACCGCCATAGAGGAGGACAAATATCATATAGCAGTTTAGTACGGTTTTACATGTTTCTAGAGAAATTTTCCGATTTCTTAGTGCTCTACTTAGCGTTTGGAAAACTACTTTGGTTATCCTAATATGCCCCCAGATTTCAGTGTCGGACTTTCGATACTCTATTCAGGTTGATATCACCAATTAGCACCATTACAAGATCACATTATAAGAATCAATACACAATAATATTAGAAAAATGTGTCAATGTATAGTTGTGTGATCTGTGGTGTAAATTT